GGCTTGAACTCACGAACCGCGAGATCATGACCTGAGCCAAAGTCGGACGCTTAACTGAGCCACCAAGGTGCCCCTCTTTGAGTTTTTACTTCTATGTGATTCTATTATTTTTATAACTAAATATAAGCTGGAGTGCTTGAATGGCTCAGTCAGTTGAGTGTCTGACTTGATCGCAGCTCAGGTCATGATCTCATGGTTCATGGGATCCAGCCCTTACATTGGGCTCTGTGCTGACAGCGTGGAGCCTGCTTGGGATTCTCCCTCTCCCCCTCTCTCTGCCTCTCTCCCATTCACACATTATAATATAATAAATAAATATTTATAATAAATAAATAAACATTAAAAAAAATAAGTCGATACTTTTGAAATTGTGCCTGAGTTTAAGATGACTTAAAATATATGTAGCCTCTTACTAGAGTACATTTCTCTACATGTATAAATCACCTTTTTTAGAAAGAAATGTGAAATACTTTTAAACTGTCCCATTCATCCACAACCTCACAGTAATATGGTACGGATGAGAATGAACGGTTTTTGTTTTGTGCATGAGGAAATGACCCTGAGAGCTTCTGTCAGAACTCAAGGTCAGGCCGAGCTCATGGGAGTGAAATCTGGACGTGTGCTGGCTGTTGATGGCTGCAGGAGACTGACCTTTGTTCTGCCTCAGCCTTCTTATCTGGCTCGAATCTAATGGGCCAACAACCAGAGTGGAGAGACTCATCAAGAATCTGCTTTGAGCACCTTCAGTTACTCGCTTCAATCACATGTCTTTCACTTGGACTTGGCTCCCAAGTGTCTTATGAAATCCGTTCTGTGCTATTTCTCTTATTACGCCTTTGCTAATTTACTTATTGTTAAAGTTTCTGACCACTGACGAGCACAACATATTACATCTGATTTTATGAGAAGACAAACAAAAGATTATTTTAGAAAATAAGACTTCAACTTTTGATGTCTAGTGGATTTGAATTTCAGCTCACTTGTGAAGAAGATTTAATTGATCTTTGTTAATTTTGAGTTATTTATCTGAAAACACATTGTGACGAGTTAAAATTGTAGACGGACACCATGAGACTTGCTTATCTCTAGAACCAGGGAGTTGGTGAGTTTTTTTAGTTGTGAGGAAGATTTTGTGTATCACCATTTGTAGCATTTAGATTTAGATTCTGTTTTTTGGAGTCATGTATTTTTTTCAAGTTTGTTTATTTTGAGAGAGAGAGAGAGATTGTGAGTGGGGCAGGGACAGTGAGAGGGAGAGAGAGAATCCCAAGCAGCCAGGCTCTGAGCTGCCATCAGGGAACCCCAAGCGGGGCTCAATCTCATGAATTTTGAGATAATGAATTGAGCTGAAATCAAGAGTCAGATGCTTAACAGACTGAGCCACTCAGGCGCCCCTGGGTTCATATGTTAAAGACAAATTCAAATTCCTCTCATCATTTATTTTATCAAAAGCCAATTCTTAGATAAAACCTTACCCATGCTTCTTCTGGTTTTAGAACTTTAAATTTTGCACAGAACTTCCAGATACTTTCGTATGTGCTTATCCATGACTCTTCTGTCAAAAGAAGGCAGTAATAATACATATATATGAAATGCAGGGTTTTATTCCATTAATCTTCACCTTCACCTCCATTCACGAGCACCTACCATGTGCAAGTCAGTTGATGCATCGTGCGCGGATCCGTCCTTAGCAGATATTTCAATGTCACAGTGTTGCTTCTCCATCAAACACTTATCAGAGTAACAGACGCTGAAACAGAACGAATTCGTGTGACATTAAGTGTTGGCATTTAGGAATAGCAAAATAGTTGACAGATGGACAGCAAGAAGAGAAAAGTTAAAAAAAAAAAGTCTGGGGGCGCCTGGGTGGCTCAGTCGGTTAAGCGTCCGACTTCAGCTCAGGTCATGACCTCAGTCTGTGAGTTCGAGCCCCGCGTCGGGCTCTGTGCTGACAGCTCAGAGCCTGGAGCCTGCTTTGGATTCTGTGTCTCCCTCTCTCTCTGCCCCTCCCCTGCTCATGCTCTGTCTCTATCTCAAAAATAAATAAAAATATTAAAAAAAAAAAAAAAGTCTGAAGCTTGGATGACCCTGTGATGCTGGGTCTCTGAAAACAAAGATCTGGCCACATCGAGTTGAGGAAACAAGTTCTAAGGCATCAGCCTAGAATGAGAAACGCCTCTGAGACCTTGAATCACAAGTTAATGAAGCCACCTAGTGGTTTGATTCATAATTTGAGGTCTGAGGATCCATCATGTAGGGTCTCGCCAATCAAGTGTGACTGAGAATCTCATCAGTTTCCATTGAAGGAGGGTCCGTTTCCTTGAGAATCAGTGCGACGCTGCTCTGTGTAATAGTTTATTTATTTACGGTCTTCTTTCCATCAAAAAGGACCTAAGCAACTCACATGAAAAGACAGTGAGAGAGCACAGACCAGAAAATGAGGGATAAAAACCAAAACATGAATAAAGACATAAAGAGTAGCTCGAAATTTCGGTCATTGAAAAATGCATATGAAATCCTATCAATTTTCCACGAAAGGACTCTGTATTTTCACCCATTGGAGACTGATGAGTTATAAAATTCACAATGTCCAGAATGATGCAACAGTTTTCAGGAAAAGTAAAGCTGTACCTGCTGCTAAGAGCAGAGAAATTTTGCTTCTGGAGGTCCTCGCAAATGAGATACCGTACAGTAAAATGTGTGTATCCTCGATCCTCCTAAAAGAAGTCATCCTGAGTCCTGGAGGATTGTTTCTTAATTGTGATTTGGAGGAGAATGGGCACCAAACGCCACCTTTAGGGCTTGCATTTAACACATTGGATCCTCAGAATAAGCCTATGAGGTAGGTAGCATTATTTTTTTTCTTTTTTTTTTTCAACGTTTATTTATTTTTGGGACAGAGAGAGACAGAGCATGAACGGGGGAGGGGCAGAGAGAGAGGGAGACACAGAATCGGAAACAGGCTCCAGGCTCTGAGCCATCAGCCCAGAGCCTGACGCGGGGCTCGAACTCACGGACCGCGAGATCGTGACCTGGTTGAAGTCGGTCGCTTAACCGACTGCGCCACCCAGGCGCCCCGAGGTAGGTAGCATTATTATCCTTCTATGCATACAAGGCCATTAGACGTGGTTTTGAATTTGCCCAAAGTCGGGCTGTTAATAAATAATGGAGCTGGGACCCAAACCTGGGCAGTATGGCTCCAGCACCCGTGTTCTTTTCCAAGATGCTATATACTGAATGGCCACTTTGGTACATTGAGGCCCATCTAATGAAAATGACAATACTTGAGATTTTCCCCCCACAATTTATACACTCTACTCTGTAGGGGTTATGTATATCATGGGATTTAACATGATGCTAAAGGTGAGGTGAGGGTTTCATATGTCTGAGATGACCCAGTTAACCTTGCTTTCTTCCAGGGTCACAGACTTTATCCCTGACCCCAGTTGCCACAGAGTCTTGCCCACATATGTACATACACTCCTTCAGTCAAAAAAAAAAAAAAAAAAAAAAAAAAAAAAAAAATAGAAGGGGGGCAGGAAAAAGTACTCAAATTCACCCCTTACTGTTTCCAGTAGGGGATAGCTGAAATCCTATGCCCTTTTGTTGGCATATCCCTAGCTACAAGATCTAAGATGCATCATCACAAAACACTCTTTATTTTGCTGGCTTTTCGTTTTCAAAGTGGTATCTATAAATATTTGGGAATGGCGGCTAAATCAATTTATCTTAACCAGTCAAGAAGGTTGATTAGCAATGAGCAAGGCCAGCCTTGAAGGGAACGTGATAGGGAAATAGTGGCATCATTGAAATGTGCAGTTAGACGAGTCAGAATATCACATACTTGAGTCTTAAATTGAACATTAAGAATGATGTTCTTTTAAGCTGTGGTTAGAATAGCTGTGTGGTTAATGTTTTTGCTAAAAGGAAAAGGTATACGCTATAAGATGACTGTTCTGTATTGATAAGGCTCCTTAAAAATAAATTTCCATGATATTTAAAAGAAACACTTAGCTTAATAAAGATTCTAATACTCCTAAAAGATTCAAGTTCTGTTTTGGGACCAACATGCTGGCCCACTGCCCATAAGATGGAAGTTTTCAGAATGAGAGCTTTTTAATCATTCTGCTGAATGCTTGAAAGATCCACCCTGTCATGGAATGTAAGGGAAAGAGAGCAATGCTGAGATACGGTGAAAAAAACATTGGCTGGCAATCAAGATGCCTGGGATTCCCGGGTCTACTTTATTCTGATAATAAAGGAAGAAATAAATTCTTTGTATGTGTCATTTTTCTCATGAACTTTGGAGTCAGACCTGGATTCAAGTACCAACTCACGGGCCTTAGTTTGTTCATGTACAAAATGGCTCTAGTCATACGGAGATTTTATTGGGTGCTCACTGTGTGCAGACATTGTGCTTTTACATACCTTTAATCTTATAAGTCTTGAATGAAATCATCACTATTGTTATCCCCACTTTACAGGCAGGATCACTGCAACTGAGAGACCAGGCAATGTGAGGAATTTAATTAGGATCATTTATGTATACAGTATGTCATATCACCCACTACAGCACATTCCCCAGAATTGGTAGCTGACGGATTCCTCTTGACTCTCTTCTCACCTGTGTCCTTTTCTCCTTTTAGAACGGTTTTGAAGGAGCACCTTTCTCCTTTTAGAAAGGGTGGCTCAGTCCGTTAAGCGTCCGATTCTTGGTTTTGGTTCAGGTCATGATCTCTCGGTTTGTGAGTTCGAGCCCCGTCTGGGGCTCCATGCTGTCAGCCTGCTTGGGATTCTCTCTCTCTGCCCCTCCCCTTATTGCTTTCTCTGTCTCTCTCTCTCAAAATAAGTAAATACACTTAAAAAATTAAAGAAAAACAAGAAAGGTTTTGATGCTTAGTGAAGAGGAGAGCCACACATGTCTCTAGCATATGTTTGGGAATTAGATAGCAGTGTAGGCCAAAGGGTAAAAATAAAACTGAATTTTTATTTTCCTACAGGAGTGGCAAAAACTCAACTATGATATCTACACCCTGCGACAGATTCGAAGGGAAGTGAGGAATAGGTGGAAACGCATTTTAGAAGATTTAGGTGAGTCCGGAAGTGATTATGACATGGTACAAATAACTAGTGGTGATCATTCCTCTTCCCTTTCTTCTGCATGGTTTTTATAAAAGTCATATTGATAACTGGCTGGTTAAAGCTACTGTGTACTAATTAGTTTCCCAATCCTATCCGCCTTGTATCCTCAAGCATAAACATCTGATGTTTCTGTTACACCAACCGATGTCCTGAGGACATAGTTTGCCGTGCGTTATGCCATCTGTCCTCAATGGAGTATCATAGGACAGGGGAGTCGTGTGGGCACTACCACTGAATGTTTTTGGCATTAGATTAGGATCATGATTAGATTAGATTGTGTCATTGAATTAGAAGTCATTGTATGTTTTTGGCATTAGATTCTGACTACGATTAGATTAGATTATGTCATTGAATTAGATGAGCGTGGTTGGGCAATTAGTAGTAGCTTTGTAAGACGAAGCAGGTGGGAAGAAATATTGTTTGCAGGAGAGACAGCAAAACTCAGTGTAGACTTACAGAAGGACTAAAAGGTAGAAAATCTTCAGAGTTCAGATAAACACCTGTGGCATCAGAGCAGATGTTGGGTATTGATTTTGTTAATTCTGCCAGGGTCATGATCCTGTAAACAAGTATCTCTCTCTGCCTCCCCTCCCCCCAAAATAAATAAACTTTAAAAAATAAAAGTGAATTTATCAGTTTTGAAGTCCCTAATCCTTCTGCCTTGAAAGACACCATGACACTCACTTTGGCGTCATAACTTTTCAAGCATGGTGTACCCAGTTGCTTACTCTATTGCTTTATTGGGATATAGTGGGATGGGCTGGACCTCTAGCCCTCTTGACTCAATATTATTGGGAGTTAATTGTCTCCTTTTTAGTTACTCCAGGAGGGTATAAATTGCTGAGTCTTTCATATTTTGGGTGAGTAATTTTAACCAGGCAACCCTATTGCCCCGGGGAAGGGAATCAGGACTTGGGGAAGAGAAGGCCTGGAGGTGGGGGCCACTTTGTAGCTCCCAAACTGTGAAGGCAGGTAGGTGCAGAGCAGGGACTGGGAGGGAGGATTTCAATCACAAAATAATAATTAAAAAAAAGGCAGCAAGCAAACTGAGGCTTACCTCTGAGGCAAAAGCTAAGGAAAAAAATTAAACAAGAAGAAACCTCAAATGAGCTTTAATTAAAGACCCCGCTGATCATAGTGACCTGGAAAGTAGCACATGGAGAGGTGCCTTGGCTTCTGCTGTGTGTTTGGAACCCACATTTGGGTGCCTTCTTAATCTCCTGCAGGACCACCGTGTCCTGTGACTGCTTTTACACGAGGGATAAATTTTTTTTCCCCACAGGCTTTCAAAAGGAAGCAGACTCTTTGTTGTCAGTGACGAAACTCAGCACCATCAGTGATTCCAAAAACACAAGGAAAGCTCGGGAGATATTGTTAAGATTGGCTGAGGAAACCAATATTTTTCCAGCAAGTTGGGAGCTCTCGGAGAGATATCTCTTTGTTGTGGTAAGTGGACATATATATATATATATATATATATATATAT